CTTTCTTTACACATGTGAAACGTGCAAAGTGTACGCGCATAGTCATGAAAAGGAAAGAAAAGAAAAAAGAAAAAAACTGGACCGCTCTCCTCGTACGTAGACACAAAAATACGTCCCTACTGAATCTTCCATCGTGTAAATCATGTTTTACGGATAAATAAGCGTACACGGTGTCGCGCGATACCAACATAGATAAGGGACTTCGTGAAGATAAGGTGTTTCCGGGAATCATTGCCACGAGGACAATAGGAAACCGATAACGGAGACATGAAGAAATTTTAACAGAGATTCACTCTACCTGCACCGTAGCTAATGAGCTCTTGGGAGTCCCATGTGCGTATAACGACTAAAAAATAATATAAATTTTTAATTATCATAAAATCAATAAAGATTTCCCATACCGCTTCGTCGAGACTCCAACGGAATTCCACTAATAACATAATCCTTTAATGGTACTTAAGAATAATTTCAAAGATTAATAATAATCGTAAATCAGCCGGAGCACCCGAAATTTCTCCGTCACTTAATTAAACTAAATGCATGGAATACTATGCACATGTATAGACGATATAGGTCGACCGATAGAAACGAGCAAGTAAATCCTCAATTAGCGCAAATGCATTTACGATTAAGGCGAATCGATGCGACTGGCGTGGAATAACTAATAAGAGCGAATGGATGGAGAAAAGGCTTGAAAATGCCATCGGGATGGGATGACGCCACGTGTGACGGTTCGTATTAAAAATGAAAAAAAATAAATAAAAGAAGAGCGTGCCCTTGCGTAAAAAATGTGAATCGGCAATGGCGACTTCCATCGCCAACGAAGGTTTTACATCGTTAGCGAGAAGAATGCCGGCTGGCAGAGCCTGAAAAGATTAAAGGCTCCGGCGTACCATAATCGATTTCAAAGGCGCTGCCTGCTGCCTACACAGAGCCGTTAATTAATTCGTGTAATTCGCAATAACGAGCCCCAGTCTCCTACCCATCTGTACTCTATCCGCGAGTAAAATCTGGCTTGACAAATGGATAACAATGAAATCCCTCGAGGGGGTGACACGTGATTTCATGTAAAAAATCTGCATTGCCGCGTATAACGGGTACGCGCTAGAAAAAAAAAACCATAGTGAGGAGCAATGAAAAGAAGAAAAAAGCATAATTAAATTTAAATTTATCGAAAAATCGTTTCCCGTCTTCCAATCGATATATGCAACGTCACGTTGTCTCGACGTGAGCATCAACGTAACCAATCGTAACTACCGGGTGACTCATTGGCTCGCGAATGAACTCTTTCGATAGCACAGGGAGACGGATCAGGCATCCGCACGTCAGGTGTGCGTCGCGACGCCTTTTCGCGTACCGTGAACGACGCTACGAATTTCTGCGAGATATCGACTGATTATCGATTCGAAACCCGAGTTTCAGCCCTTCGCCTCGCCCTTAACTCTTTCCAGAAATAAAGAAAATCAACAAATACGAAAGCCACGTAAACAGAAAGTTGTGAAAATAAAAGTAGGCCTCGCGCGCACGTCCCCTAATTAAGGAATGGCTCGCACCGGAAATGAATGGAAATTCATTGCAGCACGATACGCGGTTGCACCGTTATTGCGGCAATTAATTGAAATTCCAACCGTTAACGGTTACAGCGCCGTACACGCAGCATTGCTTCCTACAGCTTAATCCGAAGGACCGTGTCCCAGCCGTGTACCTGCACCAGGAGGCTGACGACGCGATGAATTCGGATACAGGGAGGATTCCGTCTGGCTATCCGACGCGGAGCTTCGACGAAAGAAGACGAAAGAAGCTTCGTCCGTCGGTCCTCGCAGGCTCCGGGCGGATCGTCAAATTGCACCGAAGGACAATCTCGTTCGGTAAGGAGAATTCCACGGTCAGCTAGCGACGTAGTGAAGACGCTCAGGGGGCGAAGCCCCGGGGGCAAAAATAGCTGGAGGATAAAATCAGAGCCGCTTGGATCGTGAGTAAGCGGAGGATCGCTCGCGAGAGAAAGCGAAGGGAGAGGAAAAGAGTTTCAGGAGAGAAAGGAAAAACAAACAAAAGAAAGTATCCCTATATCGATGGGTAGAAGCGTCGTATGCAAAGGACTCGGCGGATTACGTATTCAGGGGCTTTTCGCGGTTCTCGGTAGAGGGAGCATTCCCGAGGACGGGGG